TTTGCAGTATCTTTTGTCATTAATTTCTAATTTCAGAGGGCTATGATCCGATTACATGCAAGGGATGATTTCAACTCTTTTGCATTTGTTTAAATATGTTCTGTGAGCTAATATATGGTCTGTTTTAGAGAATGATCCATGTACTGCTGAGAAGAATGTGTATTCTAATGTTGGGTGGAACATTCTGTATATGTCTATCAAATCCATTTGTTCGCAGGTGTGATTCAGTTCTGTTATTTCTTTGCTCATTTTCTGTCTGGTTGATCTGTCCCTTGGTGTCAGTGGCGTATTAAGGTCTCCTGTTACAATTGTGTTTCTGATAATTTGTGTTTTAATTTTGTTAATAGTTGTTTTATATAACTGGGTGCTCTGGAGTTTGGTGCATATATATTTAAGATAGTTACCTCTTCCTCTTGGAGTTTTCCCCTTACGAGTATGTAGTGACCTTCTTTGTCCTTTATGGTGATTGTTGGTTTAAAGTTCACGTTGTCTGCAAACAGAATGGCTCCCCCTGCCGTTTTTTGGATTCCTGCTGCATCAAGTATTGTTTTCCGTCCTTTCACTTTCATTCTGAGTATCCTTCTGGGTTAGATGGGTTTCCTGTAAACAGTGTATGGTTGGATTTTGTTTTTTGATCCATTCTGCTAGTCTGTTTCTTTTGATTGGTGCATTAAGGCCAATTACATTAATGGTTATTACTGTTAAATTCTGGTTTATTGTTGACATGTTACCTCTCTGCTGTTGCATCTTTATCTTTCTGTTCTGTTTAATTATCTGCTTTCCTTAGTGGTTTTTCCCTTTGTGTATCTAGACTGTCTTTCAATATTTTTTGCAAGGTTGGTTTGGTGTTCATGAAATTCTTCAGCTGTTCTATGTCATGGAAGTATCGTATTTCACCATCAATTTTGAATGATAGTTTTGCAGGATACATCAGTCTAGGTTGGAAATCCTTTTGCTTTAGGATGTGGAATACTTCACTCCATGGTCTTCTTGACTTTATTGTTTGTGCTGAGAAATCTGCTGTGATTCTGATAGGTTTTCCTTTATAAGTGATGTGTTTTTTCTCTCTGACAGCTTTTAATTATCTATTCTTGTTTTGGATTTCTGGGGTGGTGATTATTATATGTCTGGGTGTAGTTTTATTTTGGTTATGACTATTTGGAGTTCTATATGCTTCACTGACCCTGATGTTGGTTTCTGATCTCATGCTTGGGAAATTTTCAGCTATTACTTCTCTAAATATCCTCTTGACATCCTTTATGTTGTCTCCTTCTTTTTCATTAATCCCTATCATTCTTATGTTATTTTTCTTTGCATCATCTTGCAGTTGTTGAGTTGTTTCCTGATTCCTTGTTATTTTTAAAAGATCTTTCCTTTCCTGTTTACTAGCTGCAATCCTGTCTTCAAGGTCTGAAATTTTATCTTCACTTTCATTAAGGCGGTTTTTACAACTTTTAGTGGAGTTTTTTATTTCCTGTATATCTCTGTGCATCTGCATTATGTATTCTGTTTGTTTCTTATATTATTTGTTTAGGGATTCTATCTTTTTGTTTAGTTCCTCCAATTTTTTATGTGTGTTTTCTTTAGATATATTCAGAATCTCTTTCATTTCTTTTATCATTTCTTCTTTTACCTGGGATATTATTTCGAGTTTGAATTTCTTTAAAGCTTCCTGGAGTTGTTTGTCTTTTTCAGTAGCAATTGTATCCGATATTTGAGGTGAATGGCATATATTTTCTTCTATATACATTGCTCCTAGGGTTTCTTGAGATGGGCTGGAGGTTTGAGGTTGTAATTTGGTCTTTCGTTTTGTCATTTTCCTATATTTCTGTGTTTCAAGTCTTATTTGAAAGCTTCCTCAGGATCTGTTGGAAATCCCCTTCTATGTTTGCAGCTACTGAGACTCTGGTACCACGTTACCCCAAGCCACTGGGCCTGCAGAACCAATGGCCATCCTCTGCCTGTTCAGAACTCTGCAGTTCCAGATAAGCTGGATTTCCAGATAAGCTAGGCCTCAGGGACATTGTGTGCCCACCTACCCATTGGAAGCTCCACAGCTCTCTAATCGTAGCCAGGATGTGGAGGCAGATGTAGACACCTCAAACCCACCTCTCCACTTCACTGCACCCGGAAGCCTGGAGGGACCTGAACTGTGTCAGCTTTGGGCAGAGTGTGCTGAGCACTCACCACAGGCCGCAGTGCCTCTGGAACCTGTGATCCTTCCCTGCTTGCTGAGATATCCACAGTCCTCCAGACACATGGGGAGGCTGATGTAGGCACCCTAGATCTGCCCAGCCCCTCCTCTGCACACCAATGTCTAGGTGCAGGAGTCCCAAACAGGCTGGGCTCCTCGGATAGTGTGGGCCTGCCTACCCGTTGGAAGCTCAGCAGTTCTCCAAGTGCAGCCGGGATGGGGAGGTGGAAGTAGAGGCCTCAAACCCACTTCTCCATTTCGCTGCACCCGGAAGCCTGGAGGGTCCCGAACAGTCTGGGTTTTGGGCAGAGTGCGCTGAGCACTCACCACAGCCCGCGGTGCCTCGAACCTGGGATCCTTCCCTGCTTGCTCCATGCTCTGATTCTTTAAAGTCCACTTGCATTTCTTTTAAACATAAAGCAGTCTTTATGTTTAAGGACAAATCTATATGGTTAGGAAACCATGTTCATATTTCCCTTCATTAAAATTAATACATAGACTCTTGCTTCACTCACGTTGACTTTACACAAAATATAATGAATAAATATGCAAACAATGAACACAAGAATAAATATGCAAACAATGTTAATGTATTTCAGGAAATACATCACTTAAAATATACAAACAGAATGTTAAAAATACAAACAATGTTAATATATCTACGTAAAATATCTGATGTGATAGATTCTAATATTGGAAATGACTGATTAAAAGATTTAGGTCAGGAAAAGGTCAAAACTTGTTCAATTTATGTATCAAAGATGATTGTGGCATTTTTGTAAATACTATCAAAACAACGAGAATGATTATTAAAAGATACATTTTATCATATAAATAGTAAAAATTAAAATATACTAATAGAAACAAATTGATCAGTGGCTGCTTTTCTTCCTCCTCATGGGTAATTGCTTTTGAAAAATAATTATCCCTGATTCATTATTCAAAACTCATTGTGTTTCTGAAGCATGCTTTGGCACTTGATACGATAATGAGTAAAATGCAGTTTGGCTGTTAGAGTTTATATTCTTAATGGAAATGGTAAAAAAAGCTGAATGTAATATGCTATGTGACACTTTAGTAGAATATTATACAAATCTAAATCAAATTAGAAGCATAACGAGTGTGTAGGGATTGATATTTTAAGTACAATGTTGAGGAAAGGGATCTTCAATGATGTAGCAATGAAGTCAAAACTCAAAAGAATATAATAGAATAGTAAAGTTGAAGAAAAGAGCAAAATCATTTTAAGAAAAAAAATGATTAGAGATTTTAAACGTTGCTAAGAAAACCACTGTAACCGGGGTACAGACAATGAAGGGAATGAAGATCAACTGTAAAGACAGGCAGAGAATAGATGCTCACCAGAGACAGATTCAGGAGGGTGGAAGGAGGGTTTTCAGCAAAAAATGATATGTTCACATTTGTATTTCAAATGGACAGTATTCTGAGAGTACATTAAAAGATGTACTTTTAAAAAGATGCACTTTTAAAATTGTAGATTACTACAATAAACTGGACAAAAAGCAAGGAATGGACCATGGTGATGATAGTAATTGCTTTAATGTACTCAATTGCCTTGAATATATTCTGAAAATAAAGATATAGTTAGCTTAAAAAATTGAATAGAAGTTTCTGGGCAAGATGGGTGCAATGGTAATTACAGAACTTATGGCTCGAAAACTAAAAAGGTCAATTAGCCTTTAAGAAAATGAGGTAGACTGGTGAGCAGAATATTTGGAAAAACAAATCAGGAGTTTCATTTTCCACATGCTAGCTGAGATGTCTCCAGCTGTTAGATATCTACATCTGACAGTTAGTAGATAAAGAAAGCCAAAGCTATACCTTAGTTCCCTAAAAATAAGAGTTAACTGGAAAATAAGCCCAGCATCATTTTGCAAAATGTTTGTAACTCCTGCACCAAAAATAAATCCTGGTTAAGAGTATCAACCAGATGGGCACATATAGTACAACTGCTGCAAAACGCAATACACCACATATTGAATTATAAATTTCATACTAGCTATAAAGAAAAATATCATTTACATTAATACTTAAAGGAAAATATGAATTGTAACTATGTATCTGTAAATAGCCACAACACACTTGATGAGGCTCAGACACATAGCTGTGTCTGCTACAAATCCTCTTGATTCAGTACATTGTGTGTTGTAATAGCAAACTTAATCCACTTGTGTAAAACAAACATTTTATGGTTTTTGCCACCTGCAAGTTTTCATCACCTTTGTGTGGACAGTCATCCTATCAACATTTTTGTTTCCACACATGTCTCATACATCTTCAATTAACACGATTGAATGGAAATTTCATGAAACCAGCCCAAAAGAGGTCATGACTCATGAAGAATCCATTAGATGAAATCTGACCACTGAGCTGTTAATGTACTAGGAGCAGACTGCATGGACAAGAAGTGCCTGTTTCGGGCTGGGGGTTTAGTTCAGAAGCGTAAGTGCCCTGCCCTGCAAGCGCAAGGTCGTGAGTTCACCCCCTGACACAAATAAATAAATAAATAAATACCCATTTAAAGAGAGATATATTTCTGGACATGAAAGATTGGGCTCAGTGATTCCCCAGGAAGTGGATTTACAAGAAATTCAGGTCAGAATGCAAGTTTTGCAGAATTATAGTAATATTGCAGAAGGAATGACATGGCTGTATTTGAGTAAATGTAGATTTTTGTAGATGCCTAAGTGTAGATTGTTCTATATGAAAAAACAAGACATTCTCTAAAAATAAGGTAACTATACCTTTTGAAGTAAAAATTAATTTAAGACGGTTTTATTTTCAGGAAAGGATTGCAATTTGAGAGTCATCCATATATAAAATGGCATTAAATGCTACCTGGCCACGGTGACACAGGACTAATTGCCAACACTCTGGGAGGCTGAGGTAGGAGCAATGCAAGTCTGGGCTCAGTCTAGGCAGCTTAGAAAATTATTGTAAAGGAACCGATTTCTCAAGATAAATGTAGTTTATTATGTATTTTAAATACATTAATAAATAATTTTACCTATGACTGAAGACAATACAGAAGATTTGAAATTAATAAATATGGTTCAGCCATCACAAGGAAATAAAATTATAAATATGGTCAACTTATGGCTTGAAAAAATGTTCAACCTATAAATTATTAGCTATAAATCGTGACTGACTTGGTAGCAGCTAGCACTGTACATAGCATTCTCACTTTATATAACTAGTGTTCAGTTTTGCTTGCCTAAATACATAGGTGGGCCCAATATGAAGCACTCAATAGTTTTAACATTAATTTTTTTGAGAGGAACTGTTTTGAGAGGCTAAATTTCATATTGTCAAACAGATATAGATACATTAAAAGTAGTTTATATTTTAAAATACTTTTATTCCTCCAAACAAGATATTCTTAAATTAAGACATAGCTACATTCTAATTGAATTTTCTATTACTAAGTATTTTATGTTTTATATCCTAAGCAAATATAGAAATTAGCAAGAAAAATAAAAACATTGCTTCATGTAAGCAAGCATATTAAAAACAACTAATGTCCAAAATAGTATCAGACTTTCACTTCGGCTTGGAATTTTCTGAGGCTGGAAAATTTCTGACTGATTACTCAAATTTATTTCAGTGTGGCATTGTAAGCAAGTAAATGTGTATTTTCATCTTTGTTTCTCTGTGAAAGCAACCTTTAAACAGTAGGCCTTCAGAGTGCATGTGACTTACAAACATCCTGGTGAACTGACTGGCAAATTAGAAAATAATTAAATGATCTGTTTGGTTTCTGTCAGGTCAGAGGAGCAGTTCAAAATAGTCCCCAAATTACCTCTTCCACTGTATCAAAAATATTTTAATATCTATACTAATTTGTTTTAATATTACTAGTTTCTCAGTTCATTGAAAGCCAATGTTTGTGCTATTATTTGTTTCTTTTGTAGAGGACAGAATTTATATTTTTCTTTGTCTTGTACTTTGAGTAACTAATCCAAAGATAATACACAGTGCACTTCTGTTATTCTCTAATTCTGTTATTAAATTTTTATTTTTAAATAAATTAAGTCAGTATTATTGAGGATAATGTCATTTTATACCTGGAAAATTATCTCACACACACACAAAAAAGAAACAAAAACATCAGCTGGCAAAAAGATATGTCTTTAAAACATATACAGAAAATGTGTAAGGAGCCATATCCATAACCCTTTCAATCTTTTTTATAAGTTTTGTGGATATCTTCATTGCTTTTGTTCATTCACAATAAAAGTTGCAAAGAGTGAAGGCAAGAGAAATTAAAAAAAGAAAAGAAGGACCTATGTGTCTAACTCATCTTGAGCATCCTGGACCCACGACCCAGTATCGCAATAAGTAAATGAATAAAAATCTGAGAAGCCTTAGGCCATGGTCTCAGTAACCATAAAGTAACTAGATTTATTTGGTGTATTCTTCAATAATTGGAGAAGACTGGAAGTACTGACTTTTCCTCTATGAAGAGATTATAGATGATTCTGAGAATAGATAAATCCTGTTATTTTATAGCTCAAAGTAACAAAGAATAAATTTATCTAATAATGGCATTATCAGAAATGTACTCTCTACTATTAGACATAAAATAATCACTTGGAATCAACCATACAATGCTGGTAATACTATTCGCACATCTATAGAATATATCAGTACCGAACATGGCATTCAGAAATGATATCTCAGCAAACTATTATATTTGACTAAATACATTTTTGTTATTGTGATACTTGATATCAGCAATAGATAGCATCTGATGATATTACATGCAATTATTGTACACTTTTGCTCACTATTATAGTTTGTACAAGAATTTTTAATATACTACTGAAGTACTTAGCAGCTATGTGTAATTAAATATTTTAAATATTTGAAGACTTTCAAAGTACTTGTAAGTTATCTAGTCCACTACACTCAAAAAGAAAAGTGAAACTCGAGTTTGGAGGAAATTTATTTTTATTCTGAAAGACAATCCTATCTCATTTTAATCACTCTTGTTTTAATTTTTCATTCAATTTGGAGTCCTTTCTACATCTGAAAAGAGCTATCACATCCCTTAATTAATGAACACTATGCTAATTAAGTGTTCTTACTTTAAAATATCTAGAAATTTAAAATACTGGCATAGGTTATATGGTCTGCAATATCTATGACTTATCTTTTTTGTTTTGTACTGGGAATAAAACTCATGACCTCACACTTGCCAGGCAAGGGTTTACACCACTGAGCTAAATCCCTGGTCTTCTTTGATTTTATTAATTCTATATCAGCTGTAAATCTGGATAAAACCTGAGGCTTAGAAAATTGCATGACTGTTATTCCTTTATTTTATTCACATTTTGTCTCTGCATCTGAATAATGCCAGTGCATGCTAGACACCAACACTGACATAATTGAATCCTGTATATATTAAGTATGTATTAATTGAATACAAGCTAATTGCCAGGCAAAGATGATTGGTATAGGGTAGAGGAACATGAAGTTAATCCAGTTACATGATGTTCTTAGCTTTTTGCTGTTCTTCAGAGTACAATAGTAGTAAGGACTTTTCAACAGATTCATAGGAACTTGGTGTCCTCTTCTAATCCCTATTTAACCATCTCCTCAGTGATACATCGCTCAGAGAGGACAGCTGTTATACCCATGCAAAGAGTATTTTGTGTAACCTATCTTTATGCATGGTTCCTTCCACAGGCCATTTGTGCCCTCTTTTCCCATCCCCTCACTTTGAGTAGAAAAGTAATGCTTTTTTTTTCTTTCACATTTTTCCTGGTTGGCTGGCTCCAGGCAGCAAAAACAGCAGTGCTAAAGGATTAATTGGGCAAATCTTGCTCCATAGAAATGAGGAAAGCCTAAGTGGTATTAATTTATCACAGGTGATCGCTTTCACTCAGAAAGCATCAGAAACAACAAAGATAATTAAACTAGGATCAATAGCACATAGGATGAAATGCATAAATGTCTTCTCACTGGAATTTTCCCAGGCCTTATTTAAAGCATAAGGTACATAAGAACAAGATTCCTGATTTGCTAAAATATCCCAGTCACTTGATAAATCTTAACAATCATATAAGTATTATTAATTTTAGTTGTGAAATGTGCATTTTGTGTGAACAAGAAAATCCTGATATAAATTTCCATCACTATTTTTAGATGGTTTATATGCTAGATATTAAATATTTATTTCTAGCACATGTGAATATACAAGAACATAAAATTTTCCCTCAATAAATTTGTAATCTGAAGGCATTCATTTTGGTCATGATATATGAAAATGTGTATGGCACAGGATAAGAATTTCTATAGTTGTTTGGCAAAACTGTAATTACTAGTTGGAAACACAAAGTCATTTGTAATGTTACTACTTTTAATTCTATTACTGAATCACAATAGCGTGATATCTGGCTCACAACTTCATTGTAGGTACTGATTCAAATTTTTTAAAAAAATTACACACACATCATGGTCATCAAGTAAGTATCATTCAACCCTATAATTCTAGTTAGATAAATATTACACATTTTAGGCTTTATTGTCTAATAAACAATCCATTAATTATTGCAAAGAAGGTTCTCATAATTTTAATCACTACATTATTTTCAATATTCAATAAATAAAGACTATTGGGACTAATCTTATGCCTTATAATTTCACTTGAGTGTTTTGCTAATCATTTTAGAAGAAAAATATTTATGTAATATTTTATTTTCTAGAAAAGAGAAAAGTGGTAAGCCCACTGAATTTCACTTGATTTGCTATATTTTAGTGACTTATTTTAATATGTACTTCGTTGGTGGAATATTAACACAAATCAAATTATGAATGTTGAAAATTCATTTGGCTTATTAAAGAATTTTAATATGGATCTAAAATGTAAAGTATTAAAACTCTCAAATAATGAGAAAAACAAAATTTGATAGATTTCTAACATCTGTTTTGTTTTCACAGATTTTTTGAAATGTCAAGATTTCTTCTGTTATGTATATATTTATTGATTTATTTTTGTTTCATTTTGTGTGCTTTCAACAGATAACTGTTAGAGAAATGTCACAGGGTCAACTTGAACTTCATAGGACCTTCAGCATCGCCTATTCATTTTTATTTCTCAATCTAAGCTTTCTATGTGTTTTTTAAATACCTACAGATCATTTAGCTTGCTTTCTCCTGAAATGTATCTGTATTCCAGAGCACAGCTTAACATAAAATTGGTTTCCTGTCAATAAGATTCTCTCCCAGCTACCAATACATCTCAGTGCTGACTCTCCTGAAATCTCTTCTCAGAAGAGGTTCCTTTAGGATGATTACTAACAACTCAAGGCCCTTTGTGGTGTTGACTCAGCAATGATCTCACTTGGGTCCATCTTTAACAATCCCTGTTTAGCCCCTCTCTTAAGTCTGAAAGTACTTTTAAATTTACTTAATGTAAATTTTATAAACACAGTTAAGAGAGCTAAGATGATTGGGCTACAAATTCTGTAAGTTCATAGAACAAAACATTTAACAGTCATAGGATTGAAATAATTTTGCATGGTCGGGCCTGGTTATCTGAAGAACTCTTTGAAGATCACTATGTAAAATAACAACCTTAGTTACATTCCTACCACCTTGATTTAAAGGCCTATATTGTCATTGTTTCGGTCTCTTTGCTATTGTTATTTATTTGTCTTTTTTGTTTCTTGTTTTCATAGTAATTTGATTTGTTTTTTATTGTTTTGTTTTTCCTTCAAATGCAGAAGGGACACATGTACACGTAGATTCTTATAGATGCCTAGAACTTCTAATCAGGTTATGAGAATTGATTGTATTCGATGTGATGATATGAACAGCTACTTTGTTTTTTTTTTTTATTTAAGAGGAAAAAGAGAAAAACACAAAACAAAACAAAGCAGTGT